ATGTTGTTTGAAAAACAGGGGCTGTGATAGGAGGGTCATTTAAAAAGGACTTCTACAATTGTTGGGAATTTGTGCAGAACCTTAGCTATTCAGCCCCACAATGTAAAATATAAATTATCTTTACTATTTTAGCCAAGAAATTGATGTTTTATGTTTTTAACCTTTAAGTTCAAAGGACCAACATAGGTGATCATGTTTCCTATTTTACTCTCTTCACAGGTAATTTTTTACTATTATGTTGACATTTATGGTTGAAATATTTTCTTTCTCAACTATTAGCTTTTATTTTGTAAATTAATTTTTGATCTTATTGATAGTTTTAACTATATATCTTTTCAAGCTTTTCTTGTTTATTTTAATAAAAAATGAAGAGTTTAAGGTAAATATATTGAATTATAAATGTCTTTAATATTTTTATGCTCTCTAAAATAACTAGTTTTTTGTCTCTAATCTAATTCTGTTTTTAAATGCTTCTCATTTCTAAGTAGAAAAAATGAGATAAAATTATTAAATTGAGTTCCTCTTTGTCTTTGACCCCTATTCCCAAATATGAAAGTTTGGGGCTTTGTGCTTTTTGAGAACTGTGTGCTCTCAGAAAAATGATCCAGCCTATAAGACATTAGAGCTGAGTAGAATAAAGAAGTGAAAAGAAGCTTTGAACTAGAAATGTTAGCACATGGACTAAAAATATTTGCTCTACCACACTTAGGATAATAATTTTCTTCAATGTTATGTTAATATCAATTTTTTCAGATTTTTTTTGTTTTAAAAGTCTCTTGGCATAGCATATGCCATTTTTTTCCTTAAATATAGTATTTATTATTTGTGGAGTGGCTCATAAACTAATAATCAGTAATTTTGTCATAGAAAAAACCAAAATTTTAGATGTGATAAAATGAAATTACTAAATAAGCAATAGGAAAGATACATATTATATTGTCACTAACTCAAAAATATCTTCTGAACCTTACTATTTTTATATTGAAATAATTAATATAATGTACATGTACTTTGACATTTAGAAAAACTATTGAGAATTGAGCAGTCTACAAGGAGCTTCTGTTATTAAAATTAAGAATCCTTTTCTTAAGAATTGGGAATTTTTTTCTGTTTGGTACTCCCAGACTTAAGCCTTAAGGCTTAAATAGGGTGAATTTGTTACTATCTAATGGTGCTCATATGAGTTATCCACTGCCTAAAATCAAGAGGTATATATTAACATCTTTTGGAATGTTATGTTTTGGGAGAGGAACCCTGGCGGCTTGAATTCACAATCCAGCCTTATCACTCCATGCTAATTTACCATAGGGAAAACTTGTCCATCAATTTACATGGCAGAATTAGACCTATAAAACAAAATACAGTTATTACATTATCATTCTTTTTTGTTAGACAAATATATACATCAATTTTTAGTATATTCTTTTGGAATGTTATGTTTTGGGAGAGGAACCCTGGCGGCTTGAATTCACAATCCAGCCTTATCACTCCATGCTAATTTACCATAGGGAAAACTTGTCCATCAATTTACATGGCAGAATTAGACCTATAAAACAAAATACAGTTATTACATTATCATTCTTTTTTGTTAGACAAATATATACATCAATTTTTAGTATATATATATATATATATATATATATATATATATATATAGCATACTTATTGAGTCTTTTTTTTCTTACTGTATCAAAACATGTAAGGTTGCTTACTTTATACAGGAAAGAAGTTTATTTTTCTCTGAGTACCAGGTTGAGGTCACATCTTAAGATGGTCTCCTTGCTGGCAGAAATCTAAGGTGGTACAGGACATCATGTGCCAAGAGACAGGGAGTATGCATGTGTAACTGTGAGTGTCCTCTTGTTCCTCCCTCTCTCTTACTATAATGCCACAGGGATTCAATTATGGGAGCCCTTCCCCAATGGCTTGGATTTATCTAATCTTAATTAATTCCCAAAGGCACCACCTCCAAACACCAAGTTCAATAAAATTTCCATCCTGTTACTACTTTACAGTGGGATTAGATATCAACACAACCCTACGGAGGGGAAAAAGCATGTTTAAATCACAGCCTGTAATTGTTTTTTCTGATCTTCTTTTATATTTTGTGTACTAGTTAACTGAATATTAACTGATCCAATATCTATGCCACCTTTTTGGGGTATTATCTGTTACTATGCTAAACAACTTGAATAGAAATTACCCCAGTAACCAAGAGTGTAAGTAAAGTAAAACAGGGTTGTATATACTGTTTTAAAATATCAAAATTTAATAAAATTAAAAGGCCTTATTTACCTTTTTGAGGTAAATGTTGATTTCAAATGATATTATGAAATGGCATCACGTTATGTAAAAAGTAAGATGTTTATATATTTCAACCTAACATCTAAAATAATATCTACCATAGAGCAGAACTTCAATATATTTATTTATTGATTGATTTATTTTTGTTTTTTGAGACAGGGTCTCACTATGTAGTTAGACTGACCTGGAACTCACTATGTAGCCCAGGCTGGTCTCGAACTCACAGTGATCCTCCTGGAATTATAGGTGTGTGCCACCATGCCCGGCTCAGAGCTTCGATATAAATGAATGTTTGAATTGAGATTTGTGAAGGAGAAAGCAAGAAGTTTGGGTTACTGATAGCATATCTTTCATAGGTAGCATTAACTTTACAAGATATTTTGTTATATTATTGTTTTTTCTAACACTGCATTATTAGAACAATAACAAAATCCCCTTATTTTATATAATTCCTAAAATATATAATATTGTATATTTTTCTTATATTTACATCTTTCTATGTTAAAAGATTAAGTTAGGCATATTAAAGTTCTAAAGAGCTCATTTGAGCAGATAGTGATTACTGAGCAGTTCCACACAGCGTGGAGTTTGAGGCTCTGCAGAAGGGCTTTGAGGGGAAGGCTTTCCTAAGGTGAACGTGGAAACATATCAAATAAAGTATTCGATTGGTTAAGTGGAGCAGGGCCCTTATTTCAGGGATTCCAATGAAAACCCCTAGGCAGAGGTTATTTGGAACTTTCTTACTGGTTAAGCTTAAGTTTCATTAGCTGTTTACTGAGTTGGGTGTTGGTTTGCTTATACAGGAACCTAGGGCAGAGGAACTACCTTGGCCTGACAGCCCCCCAGTTAATTGCCTACTTCTAAAGATGAGAGCAGTGAAGCTCATAAGAATTGAGTGAATTGCCAGATTCCACAAATCCATATCCCAGAGCCTGTGACCTTTCCAAATACTACAAAACCTTGCAGTTATTTATGGTCTTTTTCAGCCAGATAAGTTAGCAGTTTATCTATAATTCAGAAGAAAAGAAGGGGGAGGAAAGAAAGTATGAACCCTTCAGAAATGAATCCAATTATATGGCATAAGAGCCTTGGGCAGTGAAATACCTGGGACCCACCCTGGATATAGGAAGAGAGAAAAAAAGACTAAAGGGATGTAAAGAATTCAAGAGATTTACCCCAGGGTGGGGAAGTGATTCTGATGAAATGGCACCTGAAAACCACATTTGTTCTGGAAGCCCTAGACCAGGAAAGATGTAGACATTTTCTTGGAAAAAGTTCAGACAAGAAATCAAGAAGATGATGGGTGGGGTGGGGGTGAAGGCACTGACTTGGGAGACCAGGTTAAAGGAATTAAATAGGTTCGCTTTGGCTTAGAGACAGCAAAGATAGGCCTTGATAACCATCTGCAATTACTTGGGTGTCTAAATACGAAGGAAGCTAAAGTGCTACTTGGAGTGGAACAAAGGATTATAATTACGTGAAAATTAAGGTAATGAAAAGAAACCTGAATATGAAGCAATTCGCATTTAGGAGTATGTTAAAGGCAGTTCTATTATAAACATCATGCATGGCTTTAAAGGACACCTTACAATGGACAAAAACTATAGAGCACCATTTGTTGCCTAAAAATAATCCATGCTAATGTTGCAAATTATACTAGCCTGAATTCAGATATTATCTAAGCCCTGTGCTTCAAGACTGCTCTGAAGCAGTTTCCGCTATCATTCAGCTGGGCACCAGAGACTCCCTTTTGCTGTTTATTCCTGATCCGAAAGTGAACCAAGGCACTGGGAAAAGCACTGGATGTTCTCTCCAGGACAGGTCCATGACTCAGAGGACATTTGACAAGATCAGTGCTGCGGCTGTGTTTGCACAGGGCCATGGCTTATTCTGCCCATGAAGAAGGAACTATGAATGTCAAACTCATCTGTCCTAAATTTGATTAACCTTGATTTTTTTGGATGCGGTCCCTGGCTTTTCTATTTTAAAGTACATTTCTTTAGCAATTTGTGCCTTATATTCTGCTTTTGTAAGCTGGTCAGAAGATTCTCATAGTCTGTAAGTATTTTATTACTTACAAAGTATTATGAAACTGTGTGTCAGATTCCTAATATATACTTATTTTTCACCTAGGCTTTTGGTGCCAGGATGTTGATTTACTTTGGTGAAGAATTTTAGGGTACAACAGTGCTTCCCAAACTTTTTGTGGTGAAGCATTAGTTTCTTTTTCTTCAATTTTCAAATTTTGTGAATTGATAACTTTTTTAGAATACAATAAAATTATGAAGAAAGTTAAAACCCTCTACAACACACAAAATATGAACACTGCTTTACTTATTTTTATTTTTTATTTTTCCCCATTATTGGTCCATTTAAAGCAAACAATACAGTTACATTCATCATTGGGATCTTGTACCTTTACATGATGTCTTGGTTCTTATTTTTTCCCCATACCCCTACCCTCCCTTCACCCGTTTCACCCTTCCGTATTTACAGAGACTGTTTCCATTTTTTACTTTTTTCACATTTTTTCTTTTCCCTTTCTTTTCCCCTCCCTTTCCCTATTTTTAGATTTAATAGGGAAAATATACATTGTAACTTGTTATAAAATTTCTAAACACTTGCTATATAACGTTTTACTTTTGATTCTGCCACTTCCTTTTGGTCATGTTGCCTTGGGAAGCAAATGGACTCACCTAGTGCCTGAACTTGCTTCTTCCTGAAAGGGACATAATGATGCCTATCCTTTCTTTTTGGGTGTGGTGAAATCTATGTGGCAGGAAAGAAAGGAGCTTGGTTTGTAACTAGTTAAGCGCCGATTACACATGACAACTTGTGGGTAAAAAGGAGCCTAAGGGTATGATCCCCTTGAGAAGTTCCTCTCATTTGTTCCTGACAAATAAGTAAGAAAAGAAGTATACTCTACAGGGTCGAGAGCAGACCACTGGGGGAGAGAGAGTACGGTGGCCAAGAGCTCAGTGGCGGCCATGTTTGTATCTCTTGCTCCTCAGGCTGAGTGAGGTCAGGTCTAGGCTGTCCTATCACAAACCTGCTTGGTGTTTTATGAGAATTGAAGACAGCACTCTTGGATTGGTTTCAAGTGCAGGGTTTTGGGATATGTTCTACTTATATGTTCTGGAACTCTGTAACTGACAGGTCATGCTCCCTCCCCAGTGAGGATCAATCAGACAAATATCTGGTTCAGTCAGCAGCACCGCACCCATCTCTCATGAGAAAACTCTGAGGCCTATTAGGGCTGGAATAACCCCGCCCCCCCGGGTGTGTAGAGATCTGACCTTAGACAGGTAAATTGTTCCTCTCAAAAACCTCTAAAGTCCTGACTCCATTCTCCTCAGCCCCTAAAGCATACAATCCAAAAACTAACGTGTGGCCAATAAGGATGTGTCAAATATCCCAACTCCACCCTGGCTCCAAACCTGCCTTACCTTATCCAATAGCGATCCAGTAATGCTACCCTGGCTCCACCCCCGCCTTACCCTATATAAGCCTGTGCCTTTCCTGAATAAAGCAGAAGTGTTCCAGAAACTCCCCTGGAGTCTGTGTGGTGATTCTGCACCTTGCCCTCCTAGTCTGGCCCGCTGAACCCTGTTCCGTGAGTGGGCTCGTGGAGGAAAACAAAAATTGGCCCCCGAACAGTGGACTTGTGTATACTGGGTAAATAGCGGGTAAGGATCCCTCCTATTATGGGTAATGTCATGAGTCAAGAACGCCGGTACAGGCTACCTTAGTAAAGGTCCTCATGCCGTTAAGGCGTGTGAGGTGTTTCCAGCCCAAACTCAGGCGAGTGTAGGGCTCCCTGAGTGCTCTGAAGATGGCGGACAAAAGCCTCTTTAAAAAGATGGCGCTGGCAGTCTGTCTCTTCCGGTTTCTTCCCCGCCCCCAAAGGCGTCAGCCCCGCCCACTGGTCTCACTTCCTGTTGATGAAGCGTCCCCTTTAAAACCCCCTCCTCACTGGAACAATGGTCATCCGGAAGAGCCTACCTTTTACGTCCGTGATGACGGCCTCCACCCTGTGCGCTGCCACCTTACTTGTCAGATGAGGAAAAACAATCCTTTTAATCTGGCCTTAGCCTGGCTTTGTGGCCCTTGGCCTCCGGGCCGCCCGGCCTCCTCCTCCAAAGCCCAGCCGGAACAGCTGAGAACTTCAAAAAAGTCTGGGAGCGAAAGACCTACAGCTTTGGGGTTCTGGGTCTGCTGAACCGGGAGGGGAGCCTGGTCAGCGACCGAGTCCGACAGCTACGTGGTGGCTGAAGGACGTTTTGTTTTCCCTGGCCTCCGCTGTCCCTGCCTCCCACCCCGGGTCCTATCGCCCAGGCTGCTCGCGGCCCAGCTCCCTGGGGTGTGTTAGGGCCCAGTGAGCTGAGAAGGCTGCGAGCGAGCGCCGGTCGAGGCTGGTGAGATGGGGGCTGCACGGTCCCTGGCGTGTGGCCGCGGGGGCTGGCTGCTCCCGAGCCTGTGGCTGCTGGCACTGACCATCCCGGGGGCTGCTGTGCGCCCAGGAACAGCCTTCTTGCCGCAGAGCCTTCGATCTCTATTTCGTCCTGGACAAATCCGCAAGTACCTAACCCCTTTATGTCTATCTTCTTCTGCCTTCCTCTTTCACGTTCGTATTACCCCCTGTATTGTTCCTTCTTTGTTTAATCAAACAGAATCTTGGAGTTTATATTTTGCTAGAACACCCCCGGCTGTTTGGGTCCCCACTGATCTCCATATGAAATGACAAAATTCAGATCCTCTCTTTAATCTTATGCTTCATCCCTGCAGTAAGAAAGATTTTGAAATTTCTGCCCTTACTGCTCTCATAGTTTCCATGGTGGCAGCTATTTCCGCCACAACAATGGCAACAGGCACCTCACAAAATCAAGTGACAATAGCAGCAGCGGTCAACCAGCTAACAAAAAACATCACCCAAGCCTTTAAAAAGACTGCCCTGCTATTTCAAGATGTCTGGGCAGCCTTACTCAATTTACAAATCCACTTAAACTTGGTTTGGGAGGAATTAATACCCAGGTGTTAGATGGTGTAACTTTAAATAATGTGCGGGATACCATTTGGTCAAAAATTCAGGCTAGATGGAATAATTTTAGTCCTTGGATACGTGGATTGATATTGGGATCCCCATATATATTAACCTTGTTTGGCATATTGTTAATATTCTTTTTTTAAAGATCAGACGTGCCAGTAACAAAATCATAAAAGTGTGGTCCTTTTGGCTGATGCTCTGGAGTCAAAGACAAAAGGGGGAAATGAGGATCAGATTAATGTCCAGCTGAGTCAGCAGCACCGCACCCATCTCATGAGAAAACTCGAGGCCTATTAGGGCTGGAATAACCCGCCCCCTCCGTGTGTAGAGATCTGACCTTAGACAGGTAAACTGTTCCTCTCAGAAACCTCTAAAGTCCTGACTCCATTCTCCTCAGCCCCTAAAACATAAAATCTAAAAACTTAACATATGGCCAATAAGGATGTACCAAATATCCCAACTCCACCCTGGCTCCAAACCTGCTTTGCCTTATCCAGTAGTGATCCAGTAATGCCAACCTGGCTGCACCCCCACCTTCCCCTATATAAGCCTTTGCCTTTCCTGAATAAAGCTGACGTGTTCCAGAAACCTCCCCGGAGTCTGTGTGGTGATTCTGAACCGTGCCCTCCCAGTCAGGGCCCCTGATCCTCGCTCCACGAGTGGGCTTGCTGACGAAAATAACACCCCAGCTAGCATGCCATGCCCTTATCTCCTGCCTCAGAACTGAGGATCAGACAGAGCCTTGCAAATGCTAGACAAGTGCTTCACCAATGAGTTGCATCCCCAGTCCTTTTATTTTGAATCAGTCTTCCTAAGTCACTCAGTTACCCAAGCTGGACTTCAACGTGAATTCCTCCTGCGTCAGCCTCTTGAGTTACTGGCATTGTAGCTATGCATCACCATGACCAGATTTGAACTACTGATTTGGAATGTTTATCTTTTAAGAATTTCTTTTATATTGCGCTAGTCAGCCAAGTCTAAAAGCTAGGAAATCATTGGCATAGATTTAAGAAGTTATATGTATCAGATAACGCTGAGCTTTTTCTAGTATTTCTAGCATTGATCCCTTGCACTACATGCTGACATATCCACTTCTGCCTGGCTAGGACATAATTCTTCAAAGTTCATACATTATGCCTTTTCTCAAGATTTGGGCAGTTCTCTCCTTGAAAAGTAATTATCAAGACATCAGATGAGGGAAAGATTGGGGTTGGGTAAACTTGGAGAGCTTCAAAAAGTCTCACAAGACATTCTCATGAACATTCTACCTTACTTTGAGAACACCAACTCTGTCCACAGGGGTATTTAGTAGGGACTAAGGCATAAGAGGTTAAGACTGTAGGAAGCTCAAGTGCTAATAGCATGATAAGTACCTACAGATGAGTTGGGAAAATAATAAGCTAGAAACAACTCAAGCATTATATAGGTCATCTGCTTAGTGTAAAATACACCATGACTTGAAGTACCAGAAATTCACCACCTAGGATTCAGGAAGGGAGAGTGTGGTTAACTTCCAGTAGTCAGGAATCTGCATAGCCACTGAACTTTGCAAAAAGAATATGGTGAGTTGATTTTGCTTGACCATTTCTCAGATTTTCTCTTTCAAAAATCTGGCAAATCCTAGAATGTCTTCTGTTGTTTGGACCCTAGATATGTGTCCTGAGATGGGACTTCTGGTTCTTCTGAAACCCCTATAGTGGACTGTGTGCCTTTTAAAAAATTTATTTATATTTGTGCATTCATTCAGTTGTTTCTCAGTCATTTAGTGTAAAAGATGATATTAACAAAAGATGATTGACATACCTTGTGATTTTGTGATATGACAATCAGTACATACATGCAAAAGTAACCTCCAACACCATTCTAGATTATTTGATAACTTAGAATCATGAAGTTGTCTAGAAAATATTGCATATCTAGTTTAATCCTACATCTTTTCTTTAGCACACAATTATTTATTAGGGTCCCATGGCTCCATTAGTTTAAAATTTTGCAAAGCACTTGAGAAAATACTCTCAATATGACTAAAAATAACAGACTTTTGAAATAGACCCATCTAGCATGGTGATAGAGGAATTTCTAAAAAAGTGCACATTAAAGGAGGCAGCATGGGTTTGAAATTTAGACAGAACCCAGTCCCCATTCCTGGGGACTACTAGCTCCTGTTACCTACTAGCTCCTGACCTCCTGGGGCAAGTTACATAGTTTCTTGAGCTCTTGTTTCTTTATCCGTAAAATGAAACAAAATTTTGCCTCTTTGCAGAACTGCTATAAGGTTTAAATGAGAACAGACTGGAAGGTAGCAAATACTGTGCCTAATATAGAAAAAGACATTGTTAATGTGTTTCCCTTTCCCTTAAGTAGGATTTTAAGAATTTCAGGTTTATACACACATTTGTTAGTGTTGATGAGGCACTTCCACTGAAATAAAAACTGTGAAGTCCGCACCTCTTTGAACAAATGAAGAGAACAGAATCATCATTCTGCTTATAGTGATAATCAACCAAGTTCATGTTTCTGTTTCAGTTATAGTTTCTTGACCCCAAAAGTAATAATTTGATTTATATCTTTATGCTAGCTATTTTTGAACAATCTTTTTTATTGGGTTTTTTAAATTGAGTTTATTGGTACATTTTAGGTATACAGTACAGTTACATTCATTATTGGGATCTTGTACCTCTACATGACAGGTCTTGGTTCTCATTTTTTCCCCTTGTCCCTGCCCTCCCTTCACCCCCTCCTCCCCTTCCCATTTACAAACACTTTATTTCCATTTTTTCATTTTCTCATTTTTTTTCTTTTCCCTTTATTACCTTTCCCCTACTCTTCCCACTTCCCCTACACCTTTAGCCCTTTTCTTCCTATTTCACAATGTCAGTTATCTCATTAGGATCTTATATACTATTATAGTTTTTCACACCAGAGAAACTATTCAGTATTTACATATGTGTGACTTATTTATTTCACTTAGGAGTATATCTAACATCAGTTTTAGGCGGCACAAAAATGCAAGTAGGTCTATTAAAATTGGAGTAGTTTTGAAGCTAACTTGATTGTTTCAGTTAAAGACTTGCTATACTGAGTCCTATAGCAAAGGGGCCCTCAAACCCCTGTACAGTGTGGTCTGTTAG